AGAGAGAGAGAGAGATCATTTGGAAAATTGCTTGGGAGATAAGGATCTTTATTGCTATCATCACTTGCTCGATCATCTAATTACATACTCGGCCGAATATATCCTGAAAAAAAGTGATTGTGGCAAAGTTATCGTCTACGAAATCGCTAACGATCGCTTGCAATAATTCAGGCAATTTTTCAGAAAACGTTAAATTCAATAACGCTTGTCGACACGCTCGTTAATAATTATGCGAATGGCTGCTTCAAGCCATTTTTCTATTATCATTCGTCAGGGCGATAAAAGACACGGCGTTTGACAACAAATGAGCGCAAGACTGGCGCCATGGCGTAATCGAAGCCGCCGACAGTGTCTTCGACGTGATATATCGACTTCTCGGTCTATGCCTAACAAATAATGAAGTTCTAACGTCGTAGATTAACGGGTGGTGGGAGGCGGAGTTATTTGTCTGGCACATTAACGTTTTTAGCCCTGAGATTTTGCACAAAATGTGAGACACGCGTAATTGCACCTTGTACTAGAATGTAACGTGTTAAACAAACAGCATATCAGAAAAATTACATATTTGAAAATTTTTTGAAGAAAAAGAAAGGCTAAAAAAAATCTATTAAGAAATACATAATAATTTAAACTATAAATCAATGTTCAATGTGGAGAGTTCAATGTAATTTGTACTAATTTTTAATTAAATTCATTATTATTATCACAAATCACATTTAAATTAAATTCAGTGAGAAGAGTAATTCGATAGAATTGAACATCATGGATGACCATGTGATTGTGATTGCATTATGACTTTTAAATATGTGAATACTCATAACAAGCGTGATAAGCAAGGGAGTAATATATGCATCTGTATATAAAGTGCAATTAATTAATTAATTAATTGATCGCAATTTGTCACAGCTCACGCGGTGTCGGGTTACAGTATCGGCACTGAGAGGCGAATAGAGAGCAATAAAGCAAGTCACAACGCAAACGACAATTACCCGGTCGACTCGAAATCCGACGACGGCAGCGAGGAGGCAGTCTACGTGATCGCATTCAACGATGATGAGAAGGATGAAAGAGCGGAGAAAGAAAGAGATACGGAAGACACCGGTAAGAATATGATTCATTTCTGCACACGAGATTTAACATGACAACTAACACTTTGTAACACGAATATCGCACATTATCTTTGTCGTAGATCGACGCGTGCGTTTTGCAATCAACAAATTATTGTTATACATTAGTACGTTACTCAATATTTTCGCATATTTTCCGGTATGTTTCACCGCCATGTTCTTTTTATATTTCATCTATATTTTACATTAATATCGTATCATGTGTTCGCGAAGGTCAAAAATCATTAAAAATGCATAATTACTCTTTATCTAATCGCACTTTCCGACGTCTCGCTAAATTAGTGATTCTATATTTTTGCTCCGCGTTAATATCATCCTGCACTCTTGACCCTCTCTACATTTTTCTGCGATATTTTCAAATTTCGATCAATCTGTCGCGAAACGCGAGACACAATTCGATGCTAATTTAATCCTCCATGAATAATATCGATATGATAATTTTATTTTCGAAATGATTAAATATTAGTAAACGTAGAACGTTTTATATAATAGAAACTAATGCAATGTAATTCAAGTCAAATAAAGTCTGATCTCCTCTTTTTCCACCATTCGTATCTACTAAATAAAATTATTATTATATGTAATAATAATAAGTTAAGTAATTCACAGAGAGCGTAATATTAGAGGTAAATTATAAAAAAATAAAATTTAAAAAAAACGAATATGTGATAGTACGTTCAAAGTTGCACTGTAGAAAATCGAGCTTATTATCTAGTGGGATAAGCGGCACATGAAACGAGATTTCTGAAATCGAGTCGACGAGTGTGCGTTCGTTCCGTTAAAATTGTGACTGTAGAGAACAATTCACGCTACTCGCTCCAAGGATTTATGCAAATATGTAATCGTTCCTTCTTCATTTGCATCATATAGTTTCGCGTCGTATACGTCACGCATTAACGGCAATCGAGAGCGTCGCTTCCGCGCACATGTTGTCAATCGGAAAAATGGTGGTTTCGAAATCGTTTAGCTCACTACTTGTACCGTTTTCATGTCACGCGAATACAAAATGTGTACACGATCATGTCGCGAAATCATTATCGTCGTAATTTTCATATCGTAATCGTTTGCGTTGTTTTTGCGGCAATTTTTCGACACAAGCGCAATGCAAAAACAGGCTGAATAAGACTAAGAAGAAAACAGTACTTGTGAATACTTGGAAAGCACGTTAAAATAAATAATGCATGTTAAATGTACATGTTAAGTAAATAATGCTTCTTAACATTCCGCCGACTTTAATAATAAACAAGCGATGCAAAATGTTAAGCTAACTTTAGATTCGATGCTCATCGTCGTCTCGGATTTCTATCGAGGATGGCATCTTAAAACAAGCAAGAAAAGAGTACGTGGGTCGCAAGTAAAGACGCGAATGTTTACGCCTTTCACAATGCGAAAGCAATATCTCTGGATATTTTTTGCTACGCGATTTCGCGCAAACAACGTAAAGTAAAAAATATCTATTTGCAATTTCTGCAAATTTCTTGCAAAATTTTTGATATAACACTTCGTTTGACTCTCGCTTCCTTCTGAATTTTTTAAATATATATTTTTTAATGAAGTTTGCGAAATAGATATCTAGTTATGACTGGCTTCCCTCGCTCACAGAGTTTTTCATTCTGTTTTAGTCAACCCCAGTTCTAATCTGCAAAACCCGTTGGACCCATGGTCGATAGTCTGGTACATCGGCTCGTTCGGCGGTCTGGTGGCGTTTTTCCTCATCGTCAGCTGTTCCGAGTGGTGCTGTCGACGGAATGGTCGACCTTTAACAGTGCCCTACGCGCAACGTGCGGAGGTGATGAACACATCTGGAGTTACGGAGACCCCGCCGCCGCCTTATCACCTATTTGCGCCGCCTTCTTACGATTCCGTCAACTACGGCGAGATCGTCGACAAGACGACAGGCGAGAAGCTAGACATCTATGTAATCTCGGTGCCGATCCACAGGCCGATGGTGCAGGCACCAGCGTAGAGAACCTTGAAAAGACTCGTCCTCTTGACGAGGATCAGGACTAGCGATTGACAGTCGATCGCGGAGAAGTGACTTCGCGATCCCTTCGTGGAAGACGCTGTTCAAGAAAGAAGCGCAACTGCTTGAGCGCCGTCGTTGCAATACAAATACAGCGAGAGAGTGACGCTGTGTGTGTGTGTGCGCGCGCGCGCGCGCGTGTGTGTGTGTGTGTGTGTGTGTCGCTCGGTATGACGTTACTGAGCAATTAACTCGCTCGGTGTCATTGATAAAGATGACGACGATTCGTTGAAACATTGATATCATTCCGGATTGTGTGACTTGTTTCGCGCGTTTCTATGAAGAAAGTGACAAATTCTTACGCGAGCCATTCTCGTCATACGCGTTGATCTTGCGGAAAGAAAGCTCGTGACAAAATTGAGAAGATTGCGTTCATCAAATGAAATTTTGATAACTCAGAACGAAACGTTAATTTTATATACTCCGAAAAATCAATTTTTCTTTTTTTGTTATTTAACTCCAATTCTACAGTTTTATCTACGACCAGCATTTTCCTCGAATCAACGAGAAGAAGAACAATGGTTAACAAATGCTAATGGAATCTGAGTCAATGTTTGTATGCAAGAATTTATTGCGGCGGTATTTACGATATTTAGATTGTACACTGGATATATGGTCCAAGTCGCGAAAATTCGAGTGTTCTTCGAAAGAAGCTGTATAAAATTAATAAGGAGACAGAAACAGTCTTAATAAAAAGGGACGTATTCGTGAGTTCTTTGGAGTAATGAACAATACTTGCTTAGAAGGAAATGCTGCTTAATTTTAGAGCAATAATTAGTTTAATCGGCCTGCGGAAAATGCGGCGAATCGAATCATGCGACAAAAATCGATTGTTATATTTGTAGGAACGTTGATCATTTTACACATGCGATACTAGGATATCTCAGAATAAGCAGAATTAATGGCAGAATGTGCGAGCATTTAAAAACATTTAAAAGATGAAATAAACGATTCAGTCAATCACTGCCATTCGAGATAGAATAATCAAGGTTTAGATATTATATTCAAATTTAGTATACAATCGACATCTTTTTTTACGATATACCAATAAACTGAGATTTTTATTTATATAGATAAATCGTACAATGACTTTGAGAACTTCCCCATTTTATTCCGCGACAATCGATGACACTGTCATTGATTCGCCGACTGTTGTTGGCGAATTGTGCGAAATACCGTATTATAAGCGAATTGTGAGAACTTGGACTTACACGTGATATCGTCGCATGCGATTGGCCCCAATCGCCTATCGACTCCGTCAATTAGGGACGATTAGTGTAGATTATAAATCGACTGCCATATGTGAGAAGCGTCTCCCTGCGAACGAGGCCGCGAAAATAATTTAAGATAATAACGTGAGCGAGTATTTGCCGATCTACAATGTTCGCGATAAGGACGCAGAAAGAGAAAGACAGATGTTGTAGCTCTTCGCGCAAATAACAAATCTTAAACGAGCAATTGCACACTAATTAACGTCGCGCCCGTAAGTAACCACAACAAAGTTTCTGAGCGATTCCTCAGTCAGAATATGTTACAGATTGAACTAGAGCTCGAGAACACGCAAAATGTTGATAAATATCAGTCTCCGACGGAACGAAATCCGATCGAATGTGCCATGTAACTTTCTCTGAATTAGAGGATTCATATCTTATAAATTGATCATACTTGGAAATATCACTTACGCTAATATTTAATTATGATAAGAAGTAAAAAGCACTTTAATGTAATGAAATTTCGATGCAATGCTGAAGTTCGTTGTAATCGAGATTTTATATAGTTATATTACGTTCATAATAACAATTTAAAAAAAATTAAATATTAGAAGATCTAGAATTTGCAGAGTAATTTAAATTTATAAAAGTGCAATATAATGTGAAGGTTAAATCATTTTTATCAAACCTTACATTCGCGGAAACATAATAGGCCTAATTATCAAAGAGTAAACAATAAATTCTAAAATGTGCAATATCTGCTGTAATCTTCCAGTTTAGTCTTTCAAATATATAAAACTCGTGGAATACGAACAGTTAGTAAATATAAGTATTTGTGCGTATGAAAGAGATATGTGTGTTAGAATGCTTTAATGAATTAATGTAACTTTCATACAACGTCAATTACGATTAGCATTCTAAAAATGATTATAATTTTTACAATTACTGTAATTGATTCGATCACTTTGAAAAGAGCATGTTACGCAACATACAAACCAAATAATATTTCACAATAAAATATATTAAATTTCGATTTGCATCTAACTGTGAAATCCATATAAATTTTCCCGCAGTCCCCATTTTTAGGAACATCAGGTGAAATTGTAAGAAAAGTTTGTAAGCACTGTGATTCGCGTAATAAATAGATAATAAATAAATAGATAGAAAATATGAATAGATCATAAGAGCGGTCTCGTTCTCAGCAATCTACTATCTTTTCAAAGTGAACGATTCGCCTATTTTCCCGCGCTACTGTTACAGTTATTATCATTGTTATTGTCGTAGATATACTCGATTGTGCTCACAATGTAGTCTCGACTGTGTTGTTGAGAATACATCGCGACCGACTCATTATCCGTAAGACTCATAAAGTGACAGCGCTGTTGATATTTATTTTTTATACTTTTATACATACTGTTAATACATATTTGGACATCCCTACGTTACGAATAAAATTTCTTTTCTCTCTATAAAAAAAATAATTATTCATCTCAATCATCATGCAATCACCATGCATCTTTTTTTAATCATTTTATCTGACAAGTATCTTTGCACAGTTCTATTTTCAATTTTGCAAAACATTATAAGCAATTTTATTTGAAAAAGCTTGAAATTGTTGCATTTCTCTTATACACATTTCAATTTGTATCAATTTGTATCAATAATATTATATTGGTACTTTTTTAATAGATATATTGTAAAATTTGGATACTTTTATAGATGTTACTGCAATTTATTTGCAGCAAAATTATTATTCTTTAAAAAATAAAGCGTACGTTATTGGCGTTAATAAATTAATTAACAAAGCACTTACCTTGCTCTGAAAATGGGGGACGGAAGGGGAGCGGAGGGGATCAGCATTCAGCTCTACTTCTTACTCAGGTAGCACATGTTCGTTTCATATACGTTTCCTAAATGTATCCAATGTTTCTTAACCGTTAAGCATCAATAAAAAACGTTTTTGAAACCATTCAACAAAAACATTTTTGAAACCATAATTTAAAAAATGTTTTTTTCACGTTTTTAAAAAACAGAAAAAAATAAATGTTTTTAATTCAAAATTATGTATACGTATAATCACTACAGAGACTACATGTTAATTTCTATTTTCAAATGTGCGAATACTAAAGAGAGCGTTGAGGTTAGAATTATCGATTCTCATGTATAGATCGTAACAGTGATGCGATGTTTCCCACCGGGCACAAGTTTCCTACCTCACACAAGCGAGAAACGCGTACATGTGCTGAACGCTTTGCGCAGCATATGTACGCACTTTTCGCTTGTGGAACTCAGAAGCCGGGAGCCCGGTAGGAAACATCGCATCACTGGATCATAGCCGTTATGACATGACTTACGACTTGACCTATTTCGTATCAAAACGCCGAACGCCAAAATTTATACCAAATATCTTCGCACTTCTGCGGCAAATAAGGTGAGTTATATATATTGAAATACAATAATAATATTAAGACTCCAATAAAAATATCAATTAATATTAGGTCAAAAAGGCAAAAAGAGTCGTTGCTAGTTATTCATGCAATATATTATACCATATATTATAGACAAACGTTTCGACCTATATTAGGCCTTCATCAGGCCTTCTTACAGATGTTTTGAAGACATTTGTGCTACCTGGGTACACATATACATACCCAGTCAGCAAAGTCTGTTCGAACAGATATTGCCAAACATCTGCTACAAATTTTTGTCAGCAGAAAGACTGCAGATTGTATACAAAACCTGTTACATCAGATGATGATAGCAGAAATGTTACAAAACCTGCTGACATAATTTGACAGCAGATCAGTAGCAGAAACCGAGTAGGATTTGCTCGGAATTATTACAGCAGATTGGCGGCAGAAACCGAACAGGACCTGCGCAACGCAGTTTGATATCAGATTGACGGCAGAAATTGAGCAGGATCTGTATAATGCAATTTGATGTCAGATTGGCGGCAGAAATCGAGCAAAATCTGCGCAGTGCAATTTGATGTTGTTTGCCGCTATGCGGCGTGTTTCTTTATATATAAACTCGTACTCAAAATTTATCTACAGTGCATATAAAGTGTGGCCAGTGGCTAAATGAAGCTTATCAGTTTAATACAATAATCTGATACAACCCCCATAAGAGATTCAGAATATTAAACTGATTTTTGAAATTGAAAATGCGCTGCGAGTTGACCCGATATTTCGAGATTTTGCCTAAATAAATTTATTAAAACATAAATATTTTTTTTGTCCCAATAAAGCAAATATATATTATATACTTTGCATACCTCATTTACTACTTTTAATAAGCGAAACGAGAAATGTAAAATTGTAATGAAGCATTTAAATGCCGCTATTCCATTTAAATTGTGACGGCAGGTTCTGCTCGATTTCTGCCGACAATCTGCGGTCAATCTATGTCGACAGATTCTGCCGACAGAACACGAGCTTAATGCGGACACAGATGGCACCGTATTTGCTGTCAAGTTCTGAGCGAATCTGCTCGCAAACTGCCAGCAGGCTGCTAACATTTTGTTGACTGAGTATGTATGAATGCATTATTTTATTAATTCCATAAAAAAATGTATTTTTTTTACGGATAAAAGAAAAAAAACTCCTTTTTGATTGTTTCTTAAACGTTTTTTTTGTCGGAAAAATAACGTTTTTTTGATCATTCCTTAAACGTTTTTTTGTCGGAAAAATAACGTTTCTCTTAACGTATTTCGAGTGGACATTTTTACCAATGAGAAACGTTTTTTAGAACCGTTATGAATCGTTTCAAAGAAACATTTGTAAAAGGTTTCTGAAACTAACATGTGCTACCTGAGTAATCATCGATAAATCCTGAATCTTTACTTCTCAAATCTCCATCGTAGATTCTGCATCTGAAGTCTTCTTGAATCCTTTTCTGTGCTGAATGTCCTTATTATCGCATTGTTAATGTACTTCGTTATGGCAATCGTTAAACGCGCAAACGGCTAAAAGCAAATTTTAGTTAGATGAATAAATTTGCGATTTACATGGAAATTTATTAAATTTTCCTGGTTTTATGACTTTATTATCTTTAATTCACAAATTCTATATACTTACGTCATTCATATGCCGCATAATACAACAGAATTCTATAAATTTTGCGATCGCGGTGATACTTGTTCCGCACTCGCAAAACTCAAAAAGATGTAATGGCGGCAATGAAGCCTAGAATGCAGATGCCTCCAACAGTCATGTACGCGAATTCTCGATGTGGCATATGAGAGGCGTCTGCATTCTAGGCTTCACTAAATGGCGACGGTTTGATTAGTTTACGCACGCGTGATCTAGATGGCGTATGTCGTAGTGTGACTATAATCGCACTTGTGCCGACATAAGATACGCTGTTATATCACTAATAGAGGACAGTATGGCTACGTTCCCGACGCCATTTATAACCTTATACGGAATTAAAAAAAATAATAATTGCACTTGTTATAACTCTTTCATAAGATAAACGCAGAAGATAAAAGTAAATCAACGCTCAATAGAATATATATATATTTACTAGCAATTACTTACAATACGTATTTCATTACCAATGGTTCGAGAAAAATTGTCCGAAAAACGCGTATAAAGATCATAACTATTAAAATAATGATACTATGATTAAAAAGTATCTTTCTAAATTTATAATATTATAGTTTCAAATCAAGAACACTATTCAATGTGAAATAATTAAAACAAGTGTAAATAACCTTCCGCGCAAATGCAACTTATCTGTAGCACGGGTTTTGCCAATGCAAAAATGAGACTTGTTCATTCAAATTGTATTTCTTGCACTTTGCTGTGCTTAAGATCTTTAAAATAAAATAATCATAGATTTACCTTTTAAGAAGAGAAAATATTAGAAACTACAAGCATCGAAAATATTCCTGAAGAGCAGATCTATTCATGATTGTGCAGTAGCCAATAACAGCGTGAAGTCAACCACTTTCGACTCGTTCGACTTAATGTTGGTAGCGCCGGGTAACCTCGTTTCCGCATGTCTAGTTTCTATTGTGACAGCTGTCATAGGAGTTATGGTCAGCCAAGCTAGTCGTTTATGAACAATCTTTTCACGATTCTCGCAAAACAGCTTTGACTTTGCGCCTTCTTTCGATTTACGCTAATCGTATTTTCGACGTCTTGAACAACAACACATACTGTAAACGATGACAATGGGCGATGAGACCCCAGTTACATCACTGGTGCTTCCTGTTATATTAAGACCAATATTAACAAAGGTATCTCTTTCATTATGTCTTTGTATTTAGCATAGAGAGATGTTTTAATATAATAATATCTTTTATAAATACTATTTGTACGTGTAACGCCTTGTGTACAGAAGGTAGATAATTATTTTTTAATATAGAAGAATAAAAACAACTTGAATGCATTTTGGTTGTAATTACTTAACAAATTACTTATATCTTGTTATTAGAAATGTTGAGATTTTTATCCAATTATAATGTGTTAAATTTCAATAGCTAGAGAGGCAAAATGTCATGGCAGCGCAAACTCTACGCACAGCTCTCTCAAAAGCAGAGAGTTCACACCCTGGAATTACACACGACTTAATTATGGGTATAATACGCAGAGCAGAACTCAATCTTGATATGAATGAGAGTGTCTTGCGATTGCAAGGCGCTGCTTCTGATTATGATGGTAAGATAAATATTTTTTTATAGAAATTGTAATTATCTCATGTTTAATATTAATATCAATTATTATAACAATTTTATGACATTTGATTTTACTTTTTTCAATACTTAAAATAATCTGGAAAATGTTATCTTTGATTGTAGTTGTAGAATACCGTTCTGCACGTTCGGAAGATGCATTTCAAGAGTTGAATCGTAAATCGACTTCTTTGAAAAGAATACTTAGCAGAATTCCTGACGAGATCACAGACAGGAAGACTTTTCTCGAGACAATCAAGTATGTAAAACATATTTATATTTATAATGATATAATCATATATGTATAGTGTATCTCGTATATTAATAGCATTTTTTTTCAGGGAAATTGCGAGTGCAATAAAAAAATTACTGGATGCTGTGAATGAAGTGACTGGATATATACCTGGTTCAGCTGGTAAACAAGCTTTAGATCAACGCAAGAGAGAATTTGTGAAATATAGTAAGAGATTCAGTAATACATTGAAAGAATACTTCAAAGAAGGACAGTAAGTATATTAATTTCACAAAGCCAATAGCCAATTTTTTTATACATTATTTTATCTGATTTGATTCTTAATCATACATGAATATGCAATGATAACTGACTACAATAATATATTTGATTATCTCATTATGATATATTATAATATATTTGAATCAAATTAATATATTTATAACAATTTTTTTAACGAGAATTAAATATATCAAATTAAGTAATAGAAATAAAATCAATAACATGACAAAAAATTAAAGATTTAATCTTGTATTATATACATACATTTGCTGTAACATAATATGCTTTTTACAGAGCCAATGCAGTATTTGTGAGTGCATTGTATTTGATACATCAAACAAATATGATTATGCTCACAGTAAAAGATAAATGTGAGTAAACATTTTTACGATGAATTTTCAATATTGTATGTGATAATATCACAAGAGTCAGATTATTCATAAATGTTAAAACCTATGTAACGTCCTAATCTCGTATATTCTATTATATAAACAATGATAAAACATAAATATTCTTCGGTATAAAGGATTTAATATCATTATGTTCCCATGTTAACCAATTGCACCATAGTTTTGTTATATAGATATATATATAAAGTAATAAAGAATGTTGACAGATATATTATTTCAAATTATTTATATTTTTATTATGTATCAATTTAAATGTCACAGTAATCGTCAATTCTGATTGTAACGGTCAATGTTAATAAGAGAGTCGTATCTTGCGCAAAGTTTACTTGCAGCGCGCAACAATCCAATTTGTCGCTATCACGTGTAATTTTTTCTTTTTTATTGTTTGGTAATAGGAAATACAAATAGATTATTAAGTTTTTACTTATTTAACCTATTTATTTAAGTCACTTATTATTTCAATTTTATTCTTAGGTTAAAATACAGGAACGTTACAATATTACTGTACTACAAGTATTAAAGACATTGTGTATTTCTTTTGTTATGATATAAGAATATTAAGCATGATGAGGGTTGTGTGAATATATAAAAAGAATACAGTATTGGGAACACTAACTAACTTTATTGAAAACACGCACGTTCGGGTGGGCCTCGACTAGAATGAAGAAAGTGATCACCCCCTGGACTAAAAACAAAAACAAAATATTCTTCCCGCGAGACGCGATGCCTGACAAAAGACAAAATTATAAAAGACAAATCAATTCGTTGTAGCGTCAAAATCGAAAACATAAACTCAATGTAAAATTGCATATACTTAACAACTTTCAACGAAATATCGGAGCCATTACATAATTATTGAGGGAAGAAATAACACAAGTTATTAAGCAGATGCGAGTATCGTACAATATGACATCGAAGTTTGTAGAACCTTTAAAACATGCCAAAAATAAATACATCATTAAAAAAGTTTTACAACAATGTACGTAATGATCATTAATTTACCGTAGCAAAACTTTCCAGAGAAAAAATGTAAATTTTTCCAGCGCTTAAAAAACTCGGTTGAAGACCTTTCATTATCAATAATATAAGTAGTTTTTTCGATTTTGTAGGTGCGTTATACCACAAACTACTGTATCTGTAATATTTCAAAGATGCACAATATATAGAAAGTAACACATACAAGAATGAAATGGTTTTTTTAAGTGAATTAAGGACAATTATCTCACATTTTTTCACGTATCTGAAGACTGTGATCTATTAGTTTTTGTCCCTCGAAACTAAGAAAGAATAGATGAAACAGTTGGCCGATGCTATATAGTACGTTTTTTATTAATTCTAAAACCCCGTTGCTTTCCACATTTACTATCTCCAATATAAAAGATATATATTTTTTATTTTTTGTAGATTGAGAGAATTATATTATTTTAATAAGTGAAAATGTACTTGCGTCAAGGTAGTGGTCAACGCTGCAACTACTATAAATATTTGTATAAGGAAAGATATGGTACATGTCTTTTCAAGAAGTCGCGCGAATCTGCAAATGGAAATAAGATATTAATTTTCAGTTGGCGGATATTTCTTTATTTTTGAACGGACACATTATATTTTGTTTTACTATTCGACCAAGTTACGCATTTACTCTAAGGCTTGCCGATGTGTATGCACAAGTGACGCAATTCTTTTGCAATATGTATCATTTGGATTGTTTGCTATTTCCTCTTCTGTATTACACTCATGAAATAAATATTCGAAGCGAAATCTACAAATATTTGTGCTACATTAATACTGCTGAGAGACAAATTGAGAAATTATATTTGAATATGACTTTTCCTAATATTATAAATGATTTTTTTACCCAATCACGCTGAATATGCTGCAAATATGCTCAATGAAAGTCACAATAAAGCAGTCGTGGGCAATTAATCCGGACATAATCAATTCCGAAGTCACGATAGAATGCAAATAAATGGGAAAGAAATATTCCCGAAAGTCCACGAACCAATTTGCAAAATATGGCAATAGTATAGGACGAGATTCATTGAGGGGCAATAAAATATCTAATGAATACGGTATAAGAGTCATTGATAAAAAAGCAAATAGTGCTAAGCAGGAATACACTGAAATATGTAAAGTGAGTTATGAAGAAGAAACGTAAAGTCGACGCAAGTAGAATGCATTCATCTTTCATCAGACCTCACCACAATATATCAAACAGTATTGTCTGCCAGTTTCGGCATACGATTTCATAATTTTATACTCTTCTGCATTTTTTATTTGTTTCCAATCCTCAAACAGATGATGAGTGAGATTTTTAATCTGCCATAATATTGATTAAGAGTCAATCTTTTCTTACGATTTGATAAAATAATAGCATAAAAAGTATACCAAACATTTTTACACAATTAAAAGAATATCTTTTTCACTCTTTTGTTGCGAAAATTTCGATTTAAACAATTAAATATATTGGAATATTTAATCACAGTCTAATACGTACTGCGTGAGTATTTAATTGAAAAGTGCACACTTTTACTATAGTTATAGATGACGTGGCATAAGATGTGATTGCCCTAATAGTACATTGTATATCGTCCTTACACGTTAATAGATAATTAGTCTGAAAATCATGTAAAAATTGTACAATTATAATTTACGTCATTTAATAATAAATGCTTTTGTTTTGGTGATTATATTATAGTAATTTACTTGCGGGATGATTACAGTCATCGTGGATATGACCAAAAGAATAATGGCAAATCTTTTTAGTTTCGGCTTCATGTATGGCCACATACCAGTGACTAATGCTATTCTACGAACAATATTGTAATAATGACTCCAGGGAACTTCCATAGTTTTTAGAGAAACACTGCGACTTCGGAATTGGAAAACTACTTTTAAAATTTTATACACCTGCCTGTTTTTTCTCTCCGGTATAAGAAACGGGAAATGATTACTAACAGAAAATCCTTCATTATAAAACTGCTGTATGTACGTAAAACTTTTCAAACGAAAGTAATAGGTGTCACATCACTCAATGATTGCTATATAGATCTTGTCTACATAGAGAATTTATCGACCGGAAAAATAATGGAATAAAATTGGCACTTTCTACTGACACCATGTGCCGTACAGATGTGTCGTAAATGTTTGAGACATGTGAGAAAAAATGAAATATATTTTTGTCATACTAAGATATCGTAACGAATGTGTGTGACAAGTAGTAATTTCCTCCCTTCCTCAAAAGAATATGACATAATGAAATTAGTACTTCCTACTGAGTCTCCCCGCGTGTATCATAAATGTTTGAAACCTTTGGAAAAAAAATAGTATTGATATTCTAACACTTGTAAACAAACTTCTTCTCTGTAAGTAGATATTCATTTTGGAATAAGACCTAGTACAATTCTTTTGAATAAAGAAATATTTGGAATTAACTTTAATCAACTTTGACAAGTTTCCAAGATATTCTATATAAATAAAACGAGATAGGCATTCTTTTCATATTCACAGGTGAATTACTATTGTACAGGATATGTTTTGAAATTACCTTGATTTGTTGGTTTTTACACCCCAATGGTGAGAATTTTAATACTGATATTAATACCTCCGCTTACTGTTGATAAATTATCAAGGAAAAAAATTGTGAAAGAGGAGGAAAAATTAAAGAAAAGTAAAAACCTTACAAAATATAAAAGATGCATTTCAAGTGAAGAATCATAAATCGACTTCTTTGAAAAGAATACTTACAACTAGCAGAATTCTTGTCGAGATCACAGAAAGACTTTTCTTGAGACAATCAAGTTGTTGTAGAACACATTTATGTTTATAATGATATAAGGAATTATTTCTCAATGTACAAGAAATAAAAATTACTTTATTGATAACAAATGTACACAAATTTCTTGTATTTCCCTTACGGAAAATTGTGAATGGATTGCCTATCTACATCCTCATCGCATAACATTGATGATGAATAACAGTAAGAATTAATGGTAATTATCGCAATGAACTTGTTACTGCAAAATGTACAAAACTTCAAGCTCGCTTGCTATCAGAGAATACACGAACGATGCAACCCACACCGCTTATGTTAAATACTTTTTCATGCCAGATCAACAAGTGACTACTGCTACCTTCTGTTGGGATTTCGAAACCTCGGTAAATATACTTCATTAGAACATCCACTAAGTCACGATCTAATTGTGCTAAGCAGTCATCCATTTGATTTGACTTTATACTTAGAAGCACTTTCTGTGTCAAATTTCGAGCGCTGTCCTGTAAATAGATTAATAATGTTTTACATTTGCATATAGGTAAACTTATATTTAATAGCATACATATCAACATTGTGCAAAAATATGTATATCAAGATTAACCATAAATGGCTATAAATCATTTACAAAGCATATTTTCATATAAATAAATATAAACTGACATTTATACTTGAAATTTTTATATTTAAAATTTACTGAAAATAGCTTTGGAATTGCTTATAAATTTCAAATGAATGTAAAGACTGGTACTGTGGAGTAATTTTTACTAATTAAAAATAACACAACTTGTATTAATTTATGCCCTTTTCATAATCTATATCATTGCACAAATGACAAAACTATAAACAGTATATCGCTTCGCACTGATACGCTAAAAAGAGAATTATTATTGCACATATTCATAGATGAATCACTATTGTACGGGATAAGTTTTGAGGTTACCTTAATTTGTTGGTTTTTACATCCCAACGGTGCGGATTTTAAAACTGATATTAATGCCTCCGCGTTCTTACCCTTGATAAATTATTAAGAAAAATAATTGTGAAAGGAAGAGAAATTAAAGAAAAGTGAAAACTCTACGAAATATAAAAGTTTTGTAAAGGATATTGGCTAAGAAGTGTCAAAATTTCATTTTCATCTGGACCAGTGGGCGCGCCTACACCACCATCGGCGTCTTCCTCTTTGAAATTGTTGTCACTATACTGATCTACATCGATCTTTCGAAACGCGGACGCCGAAGTATCTTTTTTACCGTCGTTCCTCGACATTTCGACTGTCGTGCTTGACGTTTGCTACGTTCACGCCCGGCTTATCGAACAGCGCCTAGCTTCGCGATAAGCTCACTTATGCCCTATCTACACCGAAGGATAATCCTACTTGTGGCTCATCCGAGCGAGTAATGTAGACAACCGAAAAGGCGGGAGCACAGACTTTTGCATAAAGCATAACGCATAAGCATAAGGAAATTGATTGGTCCGTTTCCTTATGCATTTGCTTATGCTTATATATAGACCAATCAATTTCCTTA